CCATCCATCCATCCATCCATCCATCCATCCATCCATCCATCCTTCCTTCTATCCATCCTGAAGAACCATTATTAATCAAGGCCACCTGTAAGATCAAATACATGTCTGACTAGTTGAAGTATATTATAAAAAATATGAGGAAGGATCAAGACTTATGCACAGTCCTGTGGTGGTTGGTACTATATAGTGCAGTAAGAACTGTCGGTGAGGAAAACAGAAATTTAAGCGCTGTATTCTTAAATTGTATCACTCTTACTGTAAATGAAAAACTCTTCCTGTGACAACAACCAAATGTCTTGGTTCCTGTCTCTCTGTCTCAGGTTCAAGTCCAATGAAGAGTACATCTACGTGAGAGGCCGTGGCCGGGGGAAGTACATTTGTGAAGAATGTGGCATTCGCTGCAAGAAGCCTAGCATGTTGAAAAAGCACATCAGGACGCACACCGATGTTCGTCCATATACCTGTAAACACTGCAACTTTGCCTTCAAAACCAAAGGTAGATGAGCAGCCCTCAAATAGATGAACACATAAATGATTAGCTCAGTCAACTTGTGGGTATTTCACTTCATGATTAAACGGAGGACTCAAAGACTGACAGCTGAAAGTGTTTTTGAATGATCATCATACGGTTCACATAGTTCAGTCTTCCAATCTAGATCTCTCCCTGAGAGCGAAGCAACAACAAAACATTTATTTTAATAATTTTATCTTTTCTATGTTTAGTTGTCACAGAAAACGTTATGGTAGTATTTTACAGGCTGTTGGAGAATAGTTGACATTTGTGAAGGTGTCTCCGAAGTCTCTTGCCAAGGGGGTTCCCAGGTTTCTTGCAGGAGTAGCTAAAAAAATGTGTGCAAGAATTCAATTTTCTTAAAATAGTCAGAGTTGTTAAATAAAATTAAACTTAAATTAGTTTCCATACATTTTGGAACACTATAACTGTGTTCTGATGCACAGGACTTTGCTGACAGACATCATCTAAGACTATCCAGGTTTAAGAACATGCAATATTTTTTTTTTCTTATAATTTATGGTTCAGATCTGTTTATATTTATGTAAAACCAGCAAATTAAATCTTAAAAGTGGGGGCGGCTGCCGAGTTGGGTACAAAGCAAGCCGAGGTGGATCTAATGTGGGAGGAGGTGGGCATTGAAAATATGTGCAGGGCCAAGAATGCAGTTTTGCAATCCGCGGTCTCAAAAACAAGCAGTGGTTTTCAAATCCCTGCCAATTAAAACGCAGCTGCACGACTCGCTTGTTGCTTGATTTAAACTCTAACTTCAGTCAGACTGTTTCAGAAAATTCACCCGTTTCTTCCAGTTTGAGTCGCGCAGACATTGCAAGCATGTTTTCATCACACTGGTAGACATTCTGATTCTGAGCAGGTTTATGTGGGGCACTGCAGCATAGACTGATCAAAACTCTGATAATCAAGATACTTTAGATTCAGTTTGTATTTTTTTATTTTTGTTCAGGTCATCATAAAATGAGAACTTAAAGAAAATTGCAAATCGTATGATTTGATGCACAAGCTTCATTAGTGTATGCTTCCTTGCACGGAGGTGGAAAAACCCCCAGACTGTAGCTGTCGTTTGTCCTCCATTTTACCTCTATTGTTCAAATATTATTCTTTTCATAAGTTCTCATGGACTTTTCTTTTTCCTCACTAGGAAACCTTACAAAACACATGAAGTCAAAGGCTCATGGGAAAAAATGCCAGGCGGTGGGACTATCGGAGTCATCGCTGGACGAGCCAGAGAGTGAGGAAACAGGTACCTCAGAGGACGGGAATGCAGCTCACACGTTTCCCTTCCGCCCTGCAGAGCCATCGGTGCGCAGCTGTGTGAAGTTCAGCATGTAAAGAATGGAAGCTGCTCGGCACTGACGGCTTACGCAACAGCATGTTCTATTCTCTGTCCTCTAGCATTGCATAAGAACTATGAAAAGGTATCCAATAAATAAATGAAGAATTCAGAGGGCACCATCTCCTGATAAATCTGCAGGAGTCTGGCCACTACCTCATTATCAAGAATGTGTTGCTGGAGAGCTGAGTGCTCCCATCTGCCCCACAACAACAACAAAAAAAACCTGAAAGAAGCTTCAAAGCTAGAACCTCGATTTCGTCTCCATGTTTTTGTCTGCTTCGCTTCTTGCTGACAGACGACGCTCATCCCAGCCAAGGACGCACCATTCATGCCGTTCACAAGGTTGCAGAGATGGTTTGTGAATAGAGGCATGGTGCTGTTCAATTAAATCCCAGTCTTTCTATCCTCAGTCTATTTATAACTCCAGTTTCATGGTTTTTGTAGTTGACGTGTACTTTTGTGGTTTTTCCAGGA